CGGATGATGTACCCCAAAGAAGTAGAAGCTTGAGGGATCTGTGCATACTAGGATCATCATGGAGGGCTTTAAGAAGTTAAGACCTAAGCCCAAGCAGTCTGAGAGAAAAGGGGTAGGGAGAGAGAAGCAAGCATTTTGTAGCTTGAGAACAAGGCTTTGTGGAAGAAAAAACCAACTCATTACCAATGAGTCGATTCCAACTCATAGCGACCCTGTGTAGGGTTTCCAAAGCTGTAAATCTTTACTTGACAGAAGGTCTTTTCTTTCCCCCTCAGAGTGGCTGGTGGATTCAAACTGCTGATCTTGTGGTTAGCAGCCCAATGCCTAACCTACTCCACCACCAGGGTCATAAATAGATGCATAAACACATACGTGGTTTGCAACATTTAGACCACACTCTGCTGCTATAAACCCTTATTCTTGCCAGCTTCACTCAGTGACTTACTCAGCTAGACAAATGCAGATTGCAAGTGGCAGTAATGATGGAGTGGAGGATGGCAGCTAATACAAAGCCAGTCTAAAGTTATGATACCACAACTGTTTAAATAACTCAGGGTCCTTGAGGTTGGGGTACAGACTACCAATCTCTTACTATTCCTAATTCTAACATGGGAAGATAAGCTGACCTAGGAATTATTTAAATGCATGGTCTCATTAGTTCAGACATCTTTCACTTATTTTAAGCAGAGTCACCTCTGAGATGATCATAATTAATGACACACCTAATATAACTAGCACCTGCAGATCCTCCCTGCCCCTAGGAGTCACAGGACTGAGGCTAGGCCTTGTAGGCCTTCTGCCATTTCAACAGTAAACACAGGATCAAGTCAGGCATCAGCGCTTTCACTATGGAGAATGGAGACACCACCCACCATTTTATGGTAGACAATGAACACATTAGCATGAGGCACAAAGTAAAAACAATGTGCTCAACAGAGATTTCCTAGTCTTGCTGAGCTATATGACAGCAAAATCCTCAACAATATTTCAACAGCCCCAGAGTGACAATATTAAGAGTAACTTTACCTGTACTAGAAGGCTGGAGATAATGAGAATATTTCGCACTTCAGCAGACTACGCTCGGGATTAAGAGATCTCTGACAAATCTACAAATGCTGCATCACTCCATTCATTAGAAGCAGAGGCACCTCCACACCTGTATAGTCCTTCCCTCAACTCTCACATATCAGACTGCCAAGTATGAAGCAAAATCCAATCAAGTAAGACTAAAAATCCAATCCACGCATCCAATGTACAAGTATATACTGAGTACCTGTGAGAACTAGAAATTAACCTGGAGAAAACGAAATCATTCTGAATTCTGACCTAGCCATTATTTCCCTTTATCTTACCATACTCAAGGATTTAGGCAGGAAATTGTCATCCTATTGTCCCAACAGCAACACTTCTTTTCCATTTCCGTGCTTCTGGTCATGGTGTGCCCCCTAGGAACACTGTAACTGCACTTCACCACATACTTCAAGGCCTGCTAAAGTCCCCTTCCTCCAAGAAGCCATCCCTGACTCCCATCCCAAAGCCACCTCTCCTTTCACCAAACTGCTAACTGTTACAGTGAGTACCAAACCAGTTTATATAGAAACTTTGGGTTTTACTTATTTTCCAAATAAAGAGTATCACGTGCTTGGGAGTCCTGGTGTGGCGCTGTGAGTTAATGCACTGGACTGCAAGGTCGGCGGTTCAAACTTACCAGCCACTCCTCGGAAACCCCTACAGGGTAGCTAAAAGTTAAAACCAACTTGAAGGCACTTAACAACAATTAAATGCTGGGGATATAGCAGTGTGAACAGTACTGGGTTTTGCCTCCCAAAAGGTGCTCCTGGGGAGAATTCTCTTAAACAATTTGCTTTTGAAATTCTGTACATACACTTAGGTTGGTACTCAGTGTTTAATACTAATGAAATGAATTATTAACACCTTGTTAATCATTCTCAAATTGAAGCTACATAAACGAATGGGGAACAAAAAGCTAACAAAGTCATTTCTAAATGAACTTCCACTTCTTAAAAACCTCAAAGAAAAAAGGAAGGAAAAGAAAACAGGCTATGAAAGTGCTGCTAAACGAACGAATTTAACTCGCATTGACAAAACACCTTCACTCCCGCTTTCCAAGCTACATACAAGTGACCTTTATCCTGCATTCTTTTAAGCTTCAGATCTAAGTGTGTTTACTTTAACAACAGACCTTGAAAAAGTTTAAAGCACCCCTCCGTTTCCTAAACAACTCTTTCAAACCAGTATTTCTTGAAGAAGAATGTCCTCTTCCCCCCCACTCGCGCCCCCATGAATCCTGCATATGCAATCTGACAGACTAATCCAATGACAAGGAACCAGAATTCGAGCTTCAAGAGCGAGAAATTCAAAGAACACCACTTTGAAAGTAACAAATCCAAAGACAATTTAAAAAGTCACAAAAGCTAGGTTCTGCAGAACCTCGGGTAAGGTTCCAAGTTCCTAAACGAAAGGAATCAACAGAATTTCTTCCCCGGGAGCCGCGAGATTCTGCAAAGCGTGGGAGTTTCGGCAGGAGCAAAGGGAGGTATAAAATGTGTTTTGCTCTCAAGTGGCTTGTGAGATACTACGTCTGGCACCCTGGAACGAGCGAGGGTGAAGCCGAGCTGTGCCATGCGGCGGAGGCTGCCACCTGGGCACTCCCACCATTCTTCGCTGCTGGATTAGGACTCAAGAGGAAAACTCGGCGACCGCGGACTCGGATCGGAGCCTCCTCCCGGTTCCTACCCTGTGGGCAGTCTGTCCTCACCTTGCAACCCGCAAGCCCACCCCACCCAAGTCGCAGGAGCCCGACCTCTCTGGAGACCAAGAGTCCGGCAGGAGAGAAGGGGGTCTCCAAGAGGCGACCCGGTCGCGATCCGTACCCACCTGAGCAGACTGGAGAGGGGGTGGCTTGAAGAGCTGAGCCCGCTGCCGCCGCCCCCAGAGCCGCCACCGCCGCCGCCGCCACCCCCGAAGCCTGAGGAGAGCCGCTTCCCGGACAGCAGCTTCTCCACCGCCGGGAGGTGCCCGGTGCGGGCCGCCTCCAGCAGCTCTTGCTCCTTCCCCATCCCCAGGGCCGCCGCCCTCTAGACCCCCACCCCGGGGCCTCAGCCAAGCCCCTTCAGGCTCCCAAACTTTCCGTCTCCGGGCAACGCACCCCTTAAACCGGCCGGGGACACCACCCCCCTCCCCCCTCCTTTCCCCCCCACGCTCGCGTCACTTCCGGGATCTGGCGTCACGCGTCACCGCGCCCCCGGGCCCCGCCCCCCTTGCCCACCTAGCTGGGCGGGGCTTGGAGGGCCGACGCAGGTGGCTGGGGTTGGCGCGAAGCGGACGTGTATGCTGATAGGGATCCAAGGGCAAGATCTGCGCCTTGTAGCCATTCGCTATATAGGTGGAAGCGGACAGACGGGGTCCACCTGTGTACGCCTCCCAAAGTGTGCGCCTTCACCAGAGGGTTTGGGAGCCCACGGGGCAAGAAATACGGTAATTCATCCAGGCAGTGTAGAAACAAAGGGAGAAATATGGTAAAGCGCACCTGTATTTCCAAGTTCATTCTTTCAGCAAGTACAAGTTACATATCTAATGAATGCAGGAATTTAGTGATACAGAAGTGATTAAAAGGTGCCCCTTTCCCGTACTTTTTTAATGATCTCGAAGGGAAGAGAGGGAAGTTTAAAAATAGATATAATCCTCACCTGTTCCTCTTGCAATGACTAGAGTAAAACACTAGAGATAATCTGACCCTCGAAATGATTTGTTTTCTCTTATTTTTTTATTATGCAATTAGCCAAACTGACATGAAAAATCAGATTTGTGAAACCGGTCCCCATCTTTCCAACTACTGGTGGTTGTGGTACTGTGCTGAGTCCATTCCTAACTCATAGAGACTCTGCGGGAGAAGAAACCCTCATCTTTCTCCCGCGGAGCACCTGGTGGACTAGAACCGCTGACCTTGTGGTCAGAAGCCCAACGAATAACTAGGGCTACTAGGGCTGCCAACTACTCATGATTTGTAAAAATAATTTAACTGAATAAGAACTGTATTTCTTTCGCTGGTATCTAATACTGTTTCTGACTCCAAGTAGGCGCTCTACTGTTGTGTGAATAAAAGGATTGGATGAATTCTACTTTATCTGTTGTTTTGGGCGTAGTGGTTACGAATCGGGATGCGAAAGGTCAGCGGTTCGAAACTACCAGCCGCTCCGCGGGAGAAAGATGTGGCTTTCTACTCCCGTAAGGATTTACACCCTCGGAAACCCTGTACAGGGTCGCTATGGGTCGGAACCGACTCGACGGCACTTAACAACAACAACAACAACATACAAGAAAGCAGAAATTATTAGCAACTCATTGTAAACACGGGTCCGCGGTCTCAGTTTAAGTGAAACGTCCAAGTTGTCTGCCTGAACGTGTACCTATCCAAGGCAACTGCATCCCACGACACGGGCACACAATGGAACTGAGTTTCTTTCCTTGTCCCCCCGCCGCTTCTTTACTCTTAAGAGGTTTACTGGCATTGCATTTTTTGAAAAGCAAGAAAAAAGCTCGTCAGTAAACAAAAGTGCGCGCTTTCACAAACGCTGGTTGCCTAAATGCTGGTGTTGTTAAATGCCGCCGGGTCGGCTCCGACCCATAGCGACCCTGTTTAGGGTTTCTGAGGAGACGCTGGTGAGCTTGAACCACCAACTTTGCGGTCCAGCACATTAATCCACACCGCCACATCAGGACTCCAAATGCTGGCGAAGGAGCCATAATCTAAAATCCGCACCACGAATTGTCCCACTTGGTACCACCTCTTGATAACAGTTACAACAAATCAGCAAAATCCTCTGTACGTGCCTCTGACCCCAACGTCTAGCGATAGAAGTGATGTCATCTGAGCGCGACGACAGGAAGTAGGCGCCTGGGCTGCTGTACCGCGCCGAGTTCGGAGCTCCTGAGTCTGACAGCGCAGCGATCTCCTCTTGCATTGTCTTTTCGCAGCTATGGACAGTGCCTGTGAGTCGCCAATGGACAAAGGTGGAGAGAAAGTGGAGTCAAATGAGACACCCGCCGCTACCTTGGGCGCAGGGACCACCAACACAGACGGAATCCCGGAGGAAACTGAAGGGGACGGAGTTGTGGACTTGAAAGAAACCTCGGTGGAAGAAGGCGAGGTAAGAACATGTGTTGTTGAGACTGGAAGAGTACCCTGAGATTGGATTACTGGCTGCTCGGCAGTCTTCTTGGTTGGCCCCTTTCACGCTATCAGAGCTCCAAAAATTTACCACGACTCCATGCCAACCAAGGGGGAAAATACCCATAGTGCTGTTTACATTTCAGAGGACTATGCATTGGCATAACTAACTGTGCGATAAAGCACTGGCCCACAAGGTTGGCAGTTCAAACTCACCAGCCGCTCCTTGGAAACCGTATACAGAGTCGCTATGAGTCGGAACCGACTCGATGGCACTTTACAACAAGTGCACTGGGTTAATATATTTAATCCCTGTCTTTAGGGATTAAACTACTTCTCTGTAATCTAAACACTGACCGGCTAACCACGAGGTCGGTCGTTCAAGCTTACCATCCGCTTCTTGGAAACCCTATACGGGGTCGCTATAAGTCGGAACCAACTCGACGGCACATAACAGTAACAAGGACATTTTGGAGACATGGTGTGGCGATGTTGGATAAGCACTGGACTGTGAATCACAAGGTTAATGGTTCAAACCCACCATCCTAGGAAACCCTATACAGGGTCGTTATGACTCGGAAATGACTCGAGGGTACTTAACAACAAGGGAAATTGAAATAGTCTCTGATAAGTAAATTGGGACACATTATCACACTGAGTGCAAGAGACACATCCCACAGTGCATACTATTGACCTAATGCCCTTTAACCAAAATATGGGTCTTCTTGTTGTTCGCTGCCTTAGAGTCACCCAGACTCAAAGCAACCTCAGGCACAATAGATGGAAATGGCTGCCCTATCCGCACCATCCCCATGATGAGGTGTATTCTACTGTTAAGTTGTAAAGAGTTTTCATTGACTGATTTTTGGAAGTAGATGTTGTTGTTAGGTGCCATTTGGTCAGCTCTGATTCTTAGAGATCTGACACACAACAGAACACTGTCTTGTTCTGCATCATGCTCACAATTGTTACATTGAGTCCACTGCTGCTACCACTGTGTCAGTCGCCTCCTTAGGGTCTTCCTTTTTTTTTGCTGACCCTCCACTTTTCCAAGCATGATGTCTTTCTCCAGGGACTGGTCCCTTCTGACAGTACATCAGTATGAAGATGAAATCTGGCCATCCTGGCTTCTAAGGAACATTCTGGCTGTACTTCTTCCAACACAGATTTGTTTATTCTTCTGGCAGTCCATGGTACTTTCAATATTCTTCTCCAATATCATAATTCAAATCCCTTGATTCTTCTAGGGTCCTCCTTATTCACATTCATGTTGTTGTTGTTAAGTGCTATCAAGTCAGTTCTGACTCATAGCGACCCTGTATAGGGTTTCCCTAAGAGCAGCTGGTAAGTTTGAATTGCTGACCTTGTGGTTTAAACCAACCTTACAGTTCAGCACATTAACCTGCAGCACCACACCAGGACATATAAGGAGATTGAAAATACCCTGGCTTGGGTTAGGCACACCTTAGCCCTCAAACTGACATCTTTGCTTTTAAACACTTTAAAGAGGTCTTGTGCAGCAGATTTGCCTAATGGAATATGTCATTTGATTTCATGCCTACTGCTTCCATGAGTTTTGATTGTGGATCCAGGCAAAATGAAGTCTTTGACAACTTGAGTCTTTTCTCCATTTATCATGATGTTATTTATTCGTCCAGTTATGAGATTTTTGTTTTGTTTACATTGAGGTACAATGCATACTGAAGGCTGTAGTCTCTGGTCTTCATCACTAAGTATTTGAAGTTCTCTTCACTTCCAGCAAGCAAGGTTGTATCATCTGCACATCACAGGTTGTTAGTAAGTCTTCCAACAATCCTGATGCCACACTCTTCTTCATATAATCCAGCTTCTCAGATTATTTGCTCAACACACAGATTAAGTATGGTGAAAGGATACAACCTTGGTGCACACCTTTCCTGATTTTAAACCATCCAGACCATTCAGTATCTCTAGATCTTGAGGTCTTAGAGCTACAAGGGATTTGAGAGATCATGGAGTCCACATTACATTACAGAAATAGCCTTGCAGAGCAAAGTTGCTCAAAATATATAAAGTAAGAACTTTTAGAAAAAGAAACTTGTAACAAAACTTTTTAAAGAAAGAGCCTTTAAAACAGGTGTCAAGGACAGAAAATTTTAAATAATAATTTGTGTGATCCAATAGAGAGTTCTGCTGTCTGTAAGCTTGTCATACTGTGGTGGCTTATGTGTTGCTGTGATGCTGAAAGCCATGTTTCCCGTATTTGACATACCAGCAGTGTCACCCATGATGAACAGGTTTTAGTGGAGCTTCCAGACTAAGACAATCTAGGATGAAAAGCCTGGGAATCTACTCATGAAACTAACCAGTGAAAACCCAATGGCTCGAAACTGAATACCGTCCAGTATAGTGCTGGAAAATGAGTTGCCTAGGTTGGAAGGTGCTAAACAATGGCTGTAACAGTGGACTGAAGCATAGATGGTGTAGGACTGGACAACATTTCTTTCATGTACATAAATTGTCCTAAGTCCAAATCAACTTGATGGCTACTGACAACACTACTTAACACTACAAATAAAGCTTTGCATCCAACAGAGAATACAAATTCTTCTTTGATGCTTCTGAAACACTTTCAAAACTTGCTTATGTATTAGGTCACAAAGTAAAAACATAAATACTTAAATGTAGAAATAGCAACAGACCATATTCTGTTGTTGTTGTTGTTAAGTGCTATCAAGTCAGCTTAGACTCACAGTGACCCTGTATAGGGTTTCCTAAGAGTGGCTGGTAGGTTTGAACCGCTGACCTTATGGCTCAAACTGCAGCACTATCTTGCTAGTACAGTGCAATTGTTGTTGTTACTTGCTGTAGAGTCAATAACAGCTCATGACAATAAACCTGAAGTTAACAATAAAGAGCTTCCCTTACACCCACCTCCAAAAACAAGAGTCACTAAACAACAAAGACACAAGACACCAAATGAAACAGACATGGATGAAAATCCTGGAACCCCTGAACTAAAGAGGAAAGGTTAGAGGATTCGATCAAGTGCCAGCTGGGAGGAGAAGCTGAACTGGGACAGCAAGAGAGTGAGATAAGACTGGTTAACAGCTGGCCAGACCTGGCATGACCATCTTGAAGTATCATGAGCAGCTTTGGCAACAGAAGGTTGCCTATCAGAGCAGATTCACACAGGTGACCAGATTTCACCCGCATCCGCCCCCAGTGCAGACCTTGCTCTCCATGAGTTTATAACAGCATGGTTGTAAGTCAAGCCAAAGTGAGGCAGGGGCTGGCTGTGCTTCTTTGGTGCCTATATTCAGGCAAGCTCTGCTTAAGACCTATAGAACCTTCACAGTCACCAGACCAGCATTGTTGTTTGTTATTAAGTGCTATCAAGTTGGTTCCGACTCATAGTGACTCTGTAAAGTGTTTCCAAAGAGTAACTAGTGGGTTTGAACCACAGCCCTGTGGTTAACAGTCAGTGATTATCCTAAAGTGCCACACCAGCATTAACCTAGCAGAAACCCTCATAACCAGCCACCCTGCTTCTAGCTGCCTTCTGGTCCTAACAGACACTGAAAGCAGCTCCATCACGGACCTCCACAAACTTCTTCTGGATTGAGTAGTCTGAAAGTAGACCTAGACCTAGACCTAGACCTATAGGACTCCATCTAGTGCCTGGAACTCCACTGTCACATTCCTTCCACATTCACCTTGTGAGTTCCTGAGCTGGAAGGAGCCCCCAGAGTTGTCCCCTCTCTGGATCCAACAGCTGCACTAGTTCTTTTGGTTTGGGTTTGGGTAGTTTACTTTCATTGTTTCATTCTTTTTGAGTTTATTCTTTCTTCTTCTCTTTATATTGCCTCAAATTTTATCCCTTTTTCCTTCTTTTCTTCTGTTTCTCATTTTCCCTCATAATCTTTTTCTTTTCCTTTTGATCTTTCTCTACTCTTTCATTTCCCAACTTCCTTCTCCCTGTTTTTTTCTAAATTTCTTCCTTTTCTCTTCAATAGCTCTATTTTCCTGTTCCCCCTTTCTCTTTTTGGTTATTTTATCACTATTCCATAGTGAGTATACCTTGCTAGTGTTGTCCCTTCCTTTTAACTTATCTACTGCTTGACTGAAAATTGGACCATGAGGGTGAGTTCCTTTCCAGACCTGAAGGGTGGTCAAGGGCCATAGCCTAAGTTTCCTCCAATCTTTTTTTGACCAATAAACTTAGTCTTTTTCTTTTTCTTAAATAACTTTGAGTTTTGTCCCACATTTTCCTCCGACTCTATCCAGGGCCCTCTAATGTGATCCCTTTCAGAGCAGTTGGTAGTGGTTTGAGTCATGGATGTTCGCATGTTCCATTAGTTTGTTGGACTAAATGACTCCAAGCCTCTTCAAATCCTATCACTCGTCTTTCTTCTGCACATGGGTGATCATCTTTTGGGATCGCTCCTGTTTGGGGTTTGTTCAGTTTCTTGTATGCTTATGTCTCGTCTTTCATGATGTTAGGGAAGTTTTCTTCAACAGTTTTTTCTGTGCTTTCTATTGTGTCTTCCTGTGTTAGAATTCCAGTCACCCGTAATTTATTTCTCTTCGTGGTGTCCTACATAACTCTTAGGCTTTCTTCATATATTTTCATTCTTTATTCTGATTATTCTTTAGAATACTAGTATTGAGATATGAATCTTCAAGCTCACTAATCAGGGTTTCCATTGATTCACATCTATTCCTTTGCCCTTCCAATGTATTGTCTATTTCTGAAATCTTAGCATTAATCTTTTGGATTTCTAATTGCAGCTTTTGTGTTGTTTCTAAATTTTTATTTATTTTGTCTGTTTGTTCTTGTAGTGTTCTGAATTCTTCTAACATTTTGTTCTGGGTTCTCCTTTAGTCGTTCTTTGTCAATCCTTTGAAAGTACATAATTATTAAATATCTTTTGAAGATATGCTTACTATGAATGATGGAATGGTCAATCATTCAAAATCAAAAGGGCAACATTTTCACAGGACAAAGTTGAGAAGGGATGGAAAGGTGAGTGGAATGGAAATAGGAACCACAGGGAGGAAGTAGGATGATTGTTATTGTATGGGGGGATTGCAGTCATTGAGATGAAACCTGATGATCTAAAACTGATGATCTTGTTTCTAAACTTTCACTCATTTCACAATGAAACGTTTTAAAGAAAAAGAAAATCATCAAGACATAGCATAATCACATTGTTCAAAACCAAAGACAAGGAATGAATCCTGAGAGCAGCGTTGGGGGCGGGGGGGGGGGAATTTACCTACATAGGAGAACCAGTCAGACTGAGCTCTGATGTCTAAGCAGAAACAACACAGGCAAGAAGACAATGGGATGACTTATACAAAATGTCACTAGTACAAATACAAAGGTGGTTTAAATGACCTTAGTAGGTGGTTCAAACCCACCAAGCCGCTCCTCGGAAACCCTATACAGTATTGCTACTAGTCAGAATTGACTCAACGGCACACAACAACAACACTTGCCCAAAGAATTCTGCGATCTTTGATTTACATATCAAGGTAGTTTTGGTATCCTTGAGGGATTCAAATTGTGTTCCTTTGAAATGTCCTTTGAGTTTTGGGAAACAGAAAGAAGTCTGATAGGGCAAGATAAGGGCTATACAGTAGGTAGATCAAAGTTTCCCAATAAAATTTTCATAGGACAGCACTTGCTACCCTCAAGGAATGGGCAGGTGCATTACAGCATGGAAAAAAATCCTCAGTGCAACTTTCCTATCCTTTTTCTCACCAGTGTAGTTTTCTTAAAATTTATTTCTAACAAGCCCCCTTCATCTGGCTTAAAGGAAAAGCTATCAAGCCTTACCTTTTAGGATCCCAAAAAATAATTGCCATAAACTTCTGAGAGACCTCTCTGCTTTGAATTTAACTGGTCCAGCAGATCCCCAAAACTACTGTTTTGATTGGAACTTTTATTCCTAAAGGCACCCTAATGAGACTAAGACTATTGTGTTACTGAGAGAACTTGTCAGTTGCCATCTGATGGCAGAGGCATGTCTAAACACATTTTGCTTAAAATAAAGACATTCATGTATGAACTGGAACTCTAGTAGCAGGAAGAAAGGGGGCTACATGTGGGAACAACTCACTTTCAGGTGCCAAATTGAAAGAAACACTGTTGTTTTGATGAGAAGGAAGCTCCTTTTAAGTATTATTTCCATTATGGAATCAGTAGTAAAGAGATCTATAGATTTAGTAGCAGAAGAGCTGGCTAGATGAAGAGGACTTTGCTGAAATCCCCTTTAAAGAATAAGGTCAGGGAGTGGACCCAGGGAGAGTGATTTCTTTGATCCTTGATATTTCATTACCCGTATAAATAGATACTATAGTTACAGTCACAGCTAAACTGAAAAACTGGATTCTTTTGCTGATTTCCTCCTGTCCACATTGGTCTGTAAATTTCCTTCAATAGAGCAGTACGGTATCTTATGCTTATGGGTATGGCCAGTGCTAAAACCACAGCACTGTTCAATAAGTGAAGCCACTGTGGTGGATGATGTCTTCTTACCGTATCCAATCCTGAAAAGCAAGCCAGATATATAATAGGATTTCTTTTATCTTAGCTCAAGAGTCAGGACGTCTCAGCTATAATAGCAGCTGAAAGGGAAGACTCATCACTACTTAATTCTGCAGCCAAAAAACTGAAAATCGATACCAAAGAGAAGAAAGAAAAGAAACAGAAAGTAGATGAAGATGAGATTCAGAAGATGCAGTAAGTCATTTTCTGATTTTTACCCAAGGCTCTAACATGACCATAGAAGTAATACAATTTTCTTGGCTTTTAAAATTGTTTAAAGAAAAGAAAACAATTAATACATTACATTACATTGTGAAAAATACTTGTATAGGTAGAAAAAATGTACATCACTTTCACACCAGGAGATTATTGTTGTTAAGTGCTGTCGAGTCGGGTGTGACTCATAGCAACCCTGTATAGGGTTTTTGAGGAGCGGCTAGTGGGTTTGAATCAATGACCTTGTGGTTAACAGTCTAGTGTTGATCCTATAGTGTCACACCATCAGGAGATAAACACTGTTAATATGCTTATATATATTCTCTGTGCATGTTGTGTGCTGTCAAGTCAGTTCTGACTCTTAGTGACCCTGTATAAGGTTTCCTATAAAATGTTTGCGGGAGCAGAAAGCTTCATCTTTCTCCTTCAGATTCTATGCATGCATACCTTTAAATAAAAATATTTTTTTCAAAAATGTTAAATACTGTTTTATAGCTTACCTAATTTTCATATTATATATACAGTGAACATTTTCCATGTCAGTAAATTCTGGTGTGGCACTGCTGGTAAATGCACTGGACTGCAAGGTCGGTTTGAATGGCAAGGTTGGAGGTTCAAGTTCACCAGCTACTCCTCAAAAACCCTCCACAGGGTCGCTATGAGTCAGCACCAACTCAACGGCACTTAACAACAAATATATTTGGAGGTCATATTTCTCTTCAAAATGGAAATCACTTTATTATGTATTATGATTATAAAAATAGTATGAAATCATTGCAAATAATTGGATTCCTAGTGTGGTGCTGTAGGATCAACACTGGACTGCAACCTACAAGGCTGGTAGTTCAAACCCACCAGCTGCTCCTCAGAAACTCTATACAGGCACATAATAACAACATAAAATCATTGCAAATAATTCCGCAAACATAGAAAAATAGAAGACAAATTTCCTGTAATTCCACCACCCAGCATGGTGCTGTAGTGTAAGCACTGGGAGATAACTGCAAAGTCAGCAGTTCAAACCCACCAGCTGCTCCTCAGGATCACCGAGTCAGAACCAACTCGATGGCACTGAAGTTTATTTGGGCAAAATATTTGGTTATGCCTCTTCAGGTTTTTTTTTTCCTTTTCAGTGTTTGGTATGAAGCTGTATGTATATTTTTTTCATGTTAATAAATATGCCCATAAGTCATCATTTTAAATAGTTGCATTGTGTTCTATTATGTGCATGAACCATAATTTAGCCAATCCTTGTGGCTGTTCCTTTTTTTGACATTATGCTGAATATCTCTGTGCGCATCTTTGCATACTATGTGTACTTCTTTTCCCTGGAAGTGTAATTGCTAGTTCATATACTATGAATATTTTCAAAGACTTTGCAAAAATTATTTTCAAACTGCTCTCCTAAAAGATAGTTCCAGCATGTATAGAGTTTGCATCCCCACACTTTTAGTTCTTTTTCATAGTTATCTGATTTATGAAAGCTGTTGCCTTATTTTAATTTGTAATTTTGATTTCTTTAGTTAATAGTGAAGGTTAATTTTTTTCATTTATTTA